TAGGTGGAAGGAAATGCCTTTCCTCCTTTGTTCTCAGCTCTTTGATCTGTACGTCATCAATCAACCTTGAATTGTTTGTCATGAACACATGCTTTATATAAATAGAGGTGAACGAACCATGCCCGCCGCCCCAGTTATTTGGTTAGTTCAAGGAAACCAAAAACTACTGATGTAACAATCTTACAATGGAGGCATAAACAAAAGGAATAATAATAATCAGCTACTCAGACCAATTATTTCTGAAGTTTGAGAGGAATGCCTCAAGTTTGGAGTAGAGAAGTTCACTATAGTAAGCATGGCATATATAATTTGATTTTTTTTTTTTTTTGTATATATGCTGGTACTAGGGTGTGAACTCCAAACCTGAGTGCTGTCTTTGGGCTTTTTTCTCAAAGCTAGCATTCTACCACTTGAGCCACAGGTCTACTTCTGGCTTTTTGGTGGTTAATTGGAGGTGGGAGTCTCACGGACTTTCCTGCCTAGGCTGGCTTTGAAATAAAATCCTCAGATCTCAGTCTCCTGATTAGCTAGGATTACAGGTGTAAGCTATCAGCACCTGGCAGGAATATAATTTGGAAAGGGAGTGAATGGAGTCAACCTGCCATAGCTCAGGAAAAAAAAAAAAGATGACTGCAGGTTCCAGGTTGTGTTTCAAACGATTTTTAGAGCTCATCTCCTCTCTATGCATAGGAAAGTAAGTGGGGTACAAGATAAAGTGGCTGCACCCTAAGAGCCTCTGTTTATACTGCCAACCACCCCTTATGGCCTAATGGGGCCTGAATTTTCTGATATTTAACATCTTTATAACCACTGTTAGGAGTTAGGATCAGGGTAAATAGATATATCATTGATCCAATGAACATTTCTCATCTCCCTTTGACGAAGATAGTGATTTCAAAAACAACTCACAAAACACGGCTGCTCATGTCAGGATGCAGGTTTGTAATTTAGCTGGTGGTGATCTATCAATTGTTTCATTTGCATCCCTGTGGAAACAATCTAATACGATAAAGTGTTTATTTTCTTAATTTGTCATGCAAGACTTTATCTTCTCCCCACTCATGCTTGCGGGAAGTCACAATTCTCATTATTTTTTAAGTAGATCAGTAACCCTTTTGTATTATGCAGAACCAACCAATCAATCAATGTGGGGAGTAAGTGCAATATGTTTGCATTAACAACAAAGGAGGAAATTGGAGATGGAGAAAAGTAAGGGAGGTAAATAAAGTACAGACAGAGTGTGAGTAGATGTTTTTTGCAGATCCTCCTTGGAAGGAATATGAGAAACTAAGACAAGGAGTAGACATTCTATAAAGTATTATTGATAGATCTGGAAGCTAGCCACAGAACTTTGAGTAAGGAGGAGAATAATGTGTAGGGACAGAGACTTATGAGGAATCAAAGAAGAGAGAAGAGCCAGGTGTCTGTGGCTCATGCCTACAATCCTAGCTATTCAGGAGACTAAGATTTAAGAATTTCCTGCTGGCTCTAGCAGGAAAGTCCATTAGACTCTTATCTCCAATTAACCACCAAAAATCCAGAAGTTGAGCTGGAAATTGAGCTGTGGTTCAAGTGCTAGAGGGCCAACCTTGTGCAAAAATGGTATGGACAGCAGCCAGGCCCTGAGTTTAAGCCATAGTAACAGCACAAAAAAAAGGGGGGGAAGGGACACATGACTACCTATAGGGAGTCACCTACAGGTAGGGGGTGACAAAAGCAGGCAATGAGAAAGATGCCCCCAAATGCTGCAAAGAAGTAAAATCCTCTGTTAGTACACTGGGAGGCGGGGAGAGGGGGAGATAGGAAGGGATGGGAAGGGGAAACAAAGGAGGAGACAACAATGCTTGATAAGAAATGTACTCATCATCTTTCCCATGTAATTGTAACCCCTCTGTACGATATTTTCCACAATAAAAAAAAAAAATCAGGTTGCTATGCTTTCCACCTGAGCCAGCTAAATAGTTCCATCTCTGGAGCTGTGGAGCTGTTGTTGTTTGTGTATACCTAACATACACAAAGAACTACAAATATTTAGTCTTTGTCTCCCCCGCCCCCCAAAGGAATCCACTGCTCAATTAGACAAACAGTTGTTTTTATGTGAAGGGGGGAAAAAAATCAGTGTAATCGAGTATTCCTTTTCAAGTTCAAGTTCATTTGGTAGAAGTTTATATTTACTTTCTCACAGTTTCTGACAACAATTTTATTTCCATATTGGATTGGTTATTTCTTGGTGAAAATGATCTGAGAGAATCCAGGGACTCAGTATAAAAAAGAGACAAAGAAGATGGTGACATTTTCCTTTTTGCAATTACATTTCAGGAGAGAGAAAGTGAGGAGAAGGCAAATGGAAGCTTTAGCATAACTGGATGAAACTTGTGTTGGAGAAATATTCACTGAATTTAGTTCACTTCATTATTCTCAGAGAACAAGATTATTCCTTACGCAGTTTAATACACTCCACCTTGTTTTAGCAGCTGAATATACAAAAGGGTGCCTAATATATCTTCTGGATTAACAAGACCACAGGAATATAGGTTTTTAATGCACACTGTAACATTTCATTCTTTTGTTGTTTGCTCACTATTGACAGGATATATACACACTCCGATTTCCTCTCTTTTTAACTTTACCTATTGTATTACCTGCCTACAGTATTCTTACTCCTTACCTGTCTAACTCATCCTTTAATATTGAACCTACCTATCTTTGTAAAGTTTTCTGCCATGTAGGATTAAAAGATCTGACATTTATTAGCATCCAATTCATGTTTATATGGTTCAGTTGAAAAGCAATCTACCATTTTAAAGTATTTTATGTATACCTTTAAATATTTTTTGTAAATAGTATGAATTTTTATATTTTTAGGACAAGGTCTTGCTATATAGCTCAGACTGACCTTGAACTTAGGATCCTCCTATGCTGGTATTTATTATTATGTAAGATTTTCCACATTATGTATATAGTAACTCATTTAAGACTTATTTGAAGGAAAAATAGTTTTATGAAAGCAGTGCACATTTAAAATGTTTGTGAAAACCTAAACAATTCAGGGACCTAAAGGAGTTATGCAAACCCAACTTTTTTGCTCCAAAAAAGTGATCATCACGAAATTTCAGTTTCCTTAATATCCAGTTATGAAAGTACAATCTTATAAAATGAGGATTGACAAGGAATTATTTCTTTCTATACTTTGATTAATAATAGTCCATTTAAACTTGATGAAAGAAGAAACAAGCTGAGTTGGTAAACTTGAAGTAAAAGAACAGAAGCTAAGTTTCTGAAAAAGCGTTTCCTTTAGAGTTGAGACCAAGAGGTCTGAATCCTGTCTTTTAACTTTAAGCTTTATACAACATGGCTGTGGAAGACTGAGTAGTTTATGGACTACTATTTTCCATTCTCCATGCTCCCCTGGATTAGTATTGCTGGCAAGATTAAGTTTACAATGTCCAGCTTCATCACGTTTTATTCTTCCATCAAAACACCTGCCATTTTCAGGTGTGTCTTCATTCTTAAGGGGATTATGCTCCTGTTGTTCCTTCATTCTTCGGGTTTATGTTTCTGCACATCTCTTAGCTGACTGAACTTCATTGACATGCTTTTATTCCAAGAAGGACTTACAGTCAATGTGTCCCCTGAGTGTCTGTGCTCTTCAGAATATAGGTCTTCACTTTTACAGTTAAAGGATCATGTGGTTAGGAATACACTTTCAAGTCACATTTCATTGCCCTCACACATAAACATTCTCCCTCTAGCACTCAGGTGTTACTGCAGAGAAGTCTGAGGAAAACTTGACTAGTTTTTCCTTCAAATGCTATTTGCTTCTCTTCGTAGAGAAACAAGACAACATTTATAAAGTGCTATCCTAAAAATTCAAAATTGGTCTAGCACATGTTTCACTGTATATCATTCTATATCTATTGGGTTTTTTTGAACAGTTTGCTCTTACTCTGCAAATATGGTCTTTATTTCCAGCAAGCATTGTTTAATTCATGTTTAAAAAAAAAAATGAAGCTAAGCGCTTCCTGCTGGCTCACGCCTGTAATTCTACCTAATCAGGAGGCTGAGATCTGAGGATCACGGTTTGAAGCCAGTCCAGGCAGAAAGTCTGTGACACTTCTATCTCCAATTAACCACCAGAAAACTGGAAGTGGTGCTGTAGCTCAAAATGGTAGAGCTTTAGCCTTGAGTGAAAAAGCTCAGGGACAGTACCCATGCCCCAAGTTCAAGCCCATGATTAATCAAAAATATGACCCCTAGCACTCTATGACCTAGCTAGCACTCTACCACTTTGAGCCATAGCTCCACTTATAGTTACACAGATTTTCCTGCCTAGGCTGGCTTTGAACCGTGATCCTCAGATCTCAGCCTCCTGAGTAGCTAGGGTTACAGGCATGAGCCACCAGAGCCTGGCTAAAACTTACTATCACTCTATTTTGAATTTTATTTTGGGGGATTTCCTCAGACTACATTTAATCATGTTATTTTTTTTTAGTATGTTTTTGCATCTCTTTTTTATTTTATTTTCAGTGCTAGTGCAAAACTCACATTTTTATTGATTTTCTATTATTTTCCTAACTTGCTTTTAACTCATTCAATTTCTGAGCTGCTTGATATCTATATTTTCTTCCTACCGTGCCTCAAATTTGCACTGAATTCCTGATTTCATGTTTAGAACTCTCCTTCTAGAAAAGACACTTACTTAGCTATCTATTATTCCATAAGAATATTAAAGCTGGGGCTGGGAAGGTGGCTCAGTGGTAGAACGCTTGCCTTGCATGCCTGAGGCCCTGGGTTCGATTCCTCAGCACCACATAAGCAAAAAGAAAAAAGCCGGAAATGGCGCTGTGGCTCCAGTGGTAGAGCGCTAGCCTTGAGCTGAAGAGCTGAGGGACAGCGCCCAGGCCTAGAGTTCAGGCCCCACGACCGGACCCAAAAAAAAAAAAAAAGAATATTAAAGCTAACTTTCTGGCTTCTTACCACACATACTTGTTATCTCACAGGAATCTGAGCATCACTGGCCTGTGTCCTCTGCCCAGAGGGTCTCAGGTATTGATTGGGACTGTCATCTCATCGGAAGCTCATCTGAGGACGGATCTCTTTCCAAAGGTAACATGGTTGTGGACAAAGTCCTTTGCAGATTGGCAAAGTATGAGTCACAGTTTGGTGATGCCTTAGCTGAAGACCACACCCAAGAGTTGCCCTGAAACCCTCTCAATATGACTTTGAAACCTAGTAACTGCCTCAAACTCAGCAAGGGGGACTTCCTAACAAGAGGGTTTATAATCTTATGCAATGTAGTCATAGCATATACATCTTAAGTTTCTTATTATAGCAGTTTGAAACAAATCACAATTCTTACCTACATTCAGGGAGTAGAGTTTACAGGAGATTTTGAACTCTAAGAAAGAGGGATTGTGGGAGGAAGTTTGAAAGCAGCCCCAGGAAAAATGTGAGACACTATCTAAAACACAAACAGCAGGACTGAGAGTGTAGCTCAGGTGGTAGAGCATCTATCTGTCTAGCAATCAGGAAGCCCTAAGCTCAAATCCCAGTACTGCCAAAAAAAAAGTCTATTATTTTGGCCTGAGAATGTAGCTTAGTGGTAGAATGCTTGCCTAGCATGCATGAAGCCCTGGGTTCAATTCCTCAGTACCACATAAACAGAAAAAGCCAGAAGTAGCACTGTGGCTCAAGTGGTAGAGTGTTAGACTTGAGCAAAAGAAGCTCAGGACAGTGCCCAGGCCCAGAGTTCACGCCCCAGGACTGGCAAATAAATAAAACCCAAAGCAAAACAGGGCTGAGGTCTGTGGCTCAAGTTGCAAAGCACTTGTGTAACAAGCACAAAGCTCTAAGTTTAAACCCTAGTGCCAACAAAATAAATAGATCCCAGTCCTTTTTAAGTCTCACAATTAAATAAAACCTCATCTTACCAATTTTATCTTCAAAGCTTTATTTCCTAGTGAAGTTACCTTTTGAAGTTCTAAGTAAACGTGAATTTGGAGAAAACACTGTTCAATCAACTACAGAAAATATAAGGAAATATTTATTTTTAACTTTTGGTTTATGTATTAGTGATATGTCATGTTCCATACTTGTGCATGCTTGTCAATGAGTTATTAACAAAACGATGCTTAGGGATGGTGGCTGATAGATTGTCACCTTCTCTCTTCTTTTCCTAACCTCTCCTTATTTCTGGCAGCCTTATTGCCCATGCTGACCTGGTTCTTCTATAGTTCACTTCCTCTTTAAACGGGACACTCTACTTCTGTGGCACCTCCAGGACCAGTCTTTATTATTCTAATCACCATTTTTCAGGACCTGTGTTTTGCTCAAAATCAGAAAAGGCATAGTTTGGCTCTCAGCACCCATCCTCTTCTTTAAGTGCAGGGTTTTTTTTTTTTCTTTTTTTTTGCCAGTCCTGGGGCTTGAACTCAGGGCCTTGGTGCTGTCACTGAGCCTCTTTATACTCAAGGCTAGTGTTCTACAGTTTGAGCCACAGCACTTCTGGCTTTGCTCCCTGTCCTGGCTCTGAACCAAAATCTCAGACTCTAGCTTCCTGACTAGCTAGGATTATAGGTGAGAGCCACCAGTACCTGGCTTTCCATGACACTGTGTTGCTTGGGAAATCTGCTTCCTATTTCATAACTGCAGCTTGTGCCTTCTCCTTGTTTCACAGAAGATGGAGTTTAACTCGTGGTAATGTGTTTCTCCTAAATTATCTTTCAACTATTTTCCATTATGAGTAGGTTCCAAGTAGAAGATTATAATTATAAAATGTCATTACGTTGCTTCATTAAGTAAAAGCCTCTAGTGTACTATCTTTAAGAATTTTAGCACAGCCAGGTGCTGGTGGCTCACGCCTGTAATCCTAGCTACTCAGGAGGCTGAGATCTGAGGATCGCGGTTCAAAGCCAGCCCGGGCAGGAGAGACCGTGAGACTCCTATCTCCAATAAACCACCAGAAAACCAGAAGTGGCGCTGTAGCTCGAGTGGTAGAGCGCTCGCCTTGAGCTGAAGAGCTGAGAGATAGCGCCCAGGCCCAGAGTTCAAGCCCCACGACCGACAAAAAAAAAAAAAAAAAGAATTTTAGCACAATTATTTAACCTCTACTTCTGTAATAGAGTGGAGAGTACAATGTTATCTTTTGAATTCTGTTTGTACAATGAATTTGGTTAACTTTGCTCTTTTTCCCACTTTCGGTTCTATTAATATGGGATTTAGATCCAAATTGCTATCATATCAATATTGTCTCATATTTCTCTATATTTAAGGGACTAAAAACATACAAAGTTGTCTGAAAATCATTTATATATCTGAGAATCTCTTTTTGTCGACCTTCAAACATTATGTTGAAGATACAGAATTTGATCACTTAGACTTTTTTCAGCCATAGATCAGTCAGCAAGACCTAGGATGGGCTTCATTAACAAAACTGCAATGTGGACATCATTATAATTCTATATCTGTACTTTGAGTAATTCTACTATCTTTGAAGGTTGGCTATAGTTCCACATCACATTCAAGCCTGCACCTAAACTGACAGGGAATTTAGAATATTGCTACGTTGTCCTAACACAGGGCAAAATAAGCATAGCGTATTATGCTTTACTTCTTAAATGTCTGCTGGGAAATGACAGTCATTTTATTAGTCAGAACAAGTCACATGGTAAAGCCTGTTGGTAATAAGGCAAAGAAGAACAATTGTCCCACAAGGATCAGGAGCCAATGTTTATAAACAATGTACACTCTATGTCACAAATGTTGCTCTGTTTATGCTGGCACTTTCATTCATACAGCAGGTTAAATGAAGACAAACATGACAAGCGAAGCAACAAGATAGGAGGCTTTAAGTATGGAATAAAATCTCAGTAGGAGTTATTGATTTATGTCATCAGGCATAGTACTGAATTCATTAGAATTACTGAAAACAGCAGTAGCGTAAGGGTGTCATCAAAACTAAGGGTCAGACAAAGAAAAAAGATCAGGTAAAGGAGGTAGTGAGAAGTGTCATGTGCTGAAGAACCAGAAGCAGTGTCAGATAAATGAGGGAAGCAAGGAATATGGAAGAATGGAAGAATCGGTGTGGCCCTATTACATACAGGGCCTCTAGTAACAATGGAAATATTGCATTAAAGAATGGTAAGAAGCAGGGTGCAGTGATTTAAGCCTATAGATCTGAGGAAAGTGCTTCAAAGCCAGCCCAGCTAAGAAAGCCCATTAGACTCTCCAATTAGCTACCAAAAAAGCTGGAAGTGGAGCTGTGGCTCAAGTGATAAGAGTACTAGCCTTGGGCACAAATGCTGAGGGTCAGTATCCAGCCCCTGAGTTCAAGACCCAGGGCTGGCACGTGCGAGCACACACTCACATACACACACACACACACACACACACACACAATGGTAAGAGATACAACAGAACACGAAATTTGGAAACCAGTAACATATAATTGAAGTATCAGTATTTGAAGTTAGATATGATGGTGCACGTTTTAATCATAGCACAAAGGAAGCAGAGCAGGAGGATCATGAATAAGAGTCCAGAAGGAGAATCTCAGAAGTAAAAGAGAACAGACTAAAACAACCAAACGTTTGAGTGAATACATAGCTTATAAATGAAACATGTCTTCGGAAAGTTTATGATTAAAAACAGAGGTTGAGAGACTTTAGCCTTGCCCTACCACAAGTAACCCTGGAACAATGGAAGGACTTGGAAATATTTAAAGAATTAAGGATTGTGGGAGGGGGTGCATATTAAGTGCATATTCTTGCTTTATAAATGTAAAGATATGCAAGATAAAATTGCTTGGAATTTAAAACCAAAATCAATTATCATACTTAAATTTAAATTATACAAATGTATGCAGTTATTGTCAGTGTTAATTATCATAGTGTTTGGTAAGCTGAGTTCACCAGAGAAATATTAGAGAAAGAGAAACAGAGACAGATTCAGTTAGAGAATAGCAGGGATAAAGTCAAAGATATAGATAGACAGAGAAAAAAGAGGGCAGAGAGGAATTAAGAGTGAGAGAGAAAAGAGAGATAGAGAGAAAAGAGAGAGAGAGAAAAGAGAAATATGAGAGAAAGAGGGATAATTGTTGTAGGCATCGTGTTCCATTTCTATAGAAGCTACGTAATCCCAAGGTAAGCTTCTGGCAAGCTGAAGATCAAGGATGGTCAATGGTAGAGTTTCAGTCCAAGTCTGAAAGCAGAAGACTTACCTCTCAAGTGAAGCACAGGTAGAGAAAACAAATTCTTTCTTGCTTTACCTTTTTGTTATTTTAGGGCCTTCAACTGATGAAGGCCATTTGCACTGTGGAAGGCTCTGCACACTACAGAGTCAAATGTCATCCACATCCAGAAATATCTCACAGACATACCAGAATTGTGTTTAACCAAATACCTGGCTGGGTTCCTTGTGACCTAGTCACCTGGACACATAAAATTAGCAGTCACAGTAAGTCATCAAATTAGACTCCGTGGTACTTAAAGAAAAATGATTTGTCTGATGGTTAGTTGATTTTATATAATCTCAACTTTGATATGGAAGAGTTCATTTCTTGACAAGGCAAAAGATAACATCTCATTTACTGGTGACTACTTCATTGTAAGCTGCTAAAAAATCTTGAAAATAAAGAACTTTAGCCAGTAGTGGTGGCACATACCTGAATCTCAGCACTAGGGTATCAGGGGCTTGAACTCAGGGCCTGGAAGCTGTCCGAGTTTCTTTGCTCAAGGTTAGCACTCTACCATAGAACATCTCAGCACTAGGGTATCAGGGGCTTGAACTCAGGGCCTGGAAGCTGTCCCTGAGTTTCTTTGCTCAAGATTAGCTCCATTTTTGGCTTTTTTGGTGTTTAATTGAAGATAAGAATCTCATAGACTCTCCTGCCTGAGCTGGTTTTGAATCACAATGCTTACATCTTAGCCACCTGAGTAGCTAGGATTATAGGCATGAACCACTGATGTCTGGCCCCTATTTTCTTCTAGGAGTTGAAGATTTTCATCATGGAAAGTGATATTACCAAAACTGAAAGAAAAGTGAACAGACACATCCATTGTCTTTATTGAATTTACAAATGCAAGTCAGATAATAAAAGTATCAAATTACATCCAGGAAGAATGCTGTGAGGGAAGATTGAGTAGTTATAGTAGAAATATAAGGATGGGATTTCTAATTTAGGTAGTTAAGTAGAGATGTTGTTAAA